CCCGACAGTCTGGCGTTGCGGGCGCTCGAGCCAGTAGGTCCCTCGAACACTCCAACAGCTTTAGCGAGCAGCGGGGTGCATGAAACAAGGTTGATTATTTCCCTATCAGGCTTAGACCCGCCACCCATCATCCGTCTCTCGGACTTCTCCATTCTAGATTTGGCGTGAGTGCAACATTCAACATTACTGTACCAAGGCTCGCCAGGTATCAACGCATTAGCAAGACACGATTTAATCCCCACCAGACATCGTACCATTTGCGCCCTTCACCTCAACCCTCCTACTAAGCTCCGGCTTATCAACCATATATCAACATTGATCGAGGCATTTCTGACACAATGGACTTCGTTTGATATCTTACCTGAGATCCGTCCGGGTCCGTCCCTTCATCGCCACGTCGAGTTACGCCTGACGGCTTTCTGACGACAACTTTGTGTATCGTGCATTGCTATTCGCATAACTCCGTCGAACTTATTCCCGCTGTCAATAGTTTCCTTCACCTTTGAAACAAGTTTGAGTCAACCTTCCGAGACTTCCGCACTGTCCCAGCGTCACGAGCCGCACACATCTACGTTCCGTCTTGCATACTATGCGCCTTCGCCGAGCGGCCCGCGTGATCCTCGTCGGTGCGCCGGGAGTTGGCAAAGGAACCCAGTCCGAACGCCTGCTCTCGCGCTTCCCCCAATTGTCCGCCATCTCGTCCGGCGACCTTCTCCGTCACAATGTCAAGAACCGCACACCCCTCGGCATCAAGGTCGAGAAGACCATGAGGACCGGTGGCCTAGTTCCCGATGAAATGATCCTCCGCTTGATCACAAATGAGCTCTCACAGCGCGGATGGCTGTCGGGTGGCCGGCCGAGCTTTATGAACATGGCATCTGCTGCCTCGGGTACTGCTTTGGATACATCTATCCCGGGTCTAGATTCAGATCCAAATGCAGGCGCAAGTCTGTCACGCCAAGCATCCGAGGACCCGACAGCCTCGTTCCTGCTTGACGGCTTCCCCCGCACTGCAGTCCAGGCTAAGCGGCTGGACGACATTATACCTATCAACTGGGTAGTGTCTCTCCAGACCCCCTTTGAGGTGATTATGGAGCGCATATCGTCGCGATGGGTACACGAGCCATCAGGTCGTGTATACAACACCACATTCAATGCTCCGAAAATACCCGGACGTGATGATATCACAGGCGAACCACTCGTGCAACGCGCCGACGATAGCGAGGAGGTCTATCGGACGCGTTTCCAGAAGTTCCGCGAAACTAGCGAACCTTTGCTGGAGCATTATGCCAAAAAGGGCGTTCTCTGGGAAGTCCATGGCCAAAGTAGTGATGAGATTAGCCCCCAGTTGTTTGGGGAGTTTGAGAAACGGTTTCTGTGATGAGATTATGGACCACTACGGGTTTTCTCCTTGGTTAGGAGTGAGATCCTGAGTTAGGCGCATATGCCTAACAGCAGGATTTGTATATATTATGGAGTGAGATGTACGATGTCGAGAAATGTCGATGAGTGACTAAAGACCTAACACATCGACCGAATCGGAGGAGTCCATCCTGCAGTCAGTATATATGGATGATCATCTTATCATTCGTGCGGGACTCGGTGTTGCCGAGACATGGGTTATCTGTTGAATTACTAGATGGCAGTGGAGTGGAATCTCCGAAGTTACACTTTCTCGTGATTGAATTCAACGAATTGCACCTTTTCAGCGTCCGTCGCTATCTACCACATAATCAATATGCATGTCAATTGATCCTTACTAGTCTATGCACATGGATTTCTCTCTAGGAAGCTAGACTGTTATAACCTTGGGACCTCGATATTTCAAGCATGGGATTTTCCATTCTTAAACATCTCGGGATCTCAGAGCATACACCACAAAGCTGGCCTCTAGCCTGCCGTAACGTATAAACTGGCTAAGATTAGCCGTGCTTACCCCTCGAGGGGCTGATCCTAGGCGAGTAAATGGGGCTACCAATGAAATCAATATGAACGCGCGGGGCATCTTTGGTCTGCATATATAGTATGTCACCATCCTCATCTTTATCCCACCAACTACCTCACATATCTATCGTGTGAGTTAGAAACATTGCATGGCTACACTCATACTTTTATCTCGGGTCGGCCCGGTCTGAAGTTTGACTCAGCTCGTCCCTCGATAAGATAACGAATACTTCAAGCGAGATCGCATTTGATTGGGACCCTGCTCTGTCTTAGAGTTTAAAATGCCAAACGCATTTTCATCCTTGTTCTGTTCAGACCTAGATATATAGACTTTTCGCCTCTCTTGCGCGTTGTCCTTGCTCTTTCATCATCGCTGTACTTTTGCAACTCCGACCCTCCATCTATCCTGATGTCTCGAGGTGAATCTGAATGTGTCAATCTGCTCTCGCGGCAGTTCCTCGAATTACCCTCATCCTGAATAGATTACCCTTTGCTATACTTTCAGCTCGCTCATCCTACTCAAATCGCGCCCTCTGTTTTTCACCTAGAGTCTTTATTCCCATCGTCAAGATGGCTGCGATCGCGAAGTTGCCCTTGACATTATACGGCTATATTCTCTTTACATGGACAGCAACTGCATTTTCGCTCCCTGATAGATGTCCTATCTTCTTCGAGAAGCAGAGACTGTGCGACCCGATCGCACCAACGAGCTTTCTCCCCCCCTCCGTAAATAGTGCTGCGAAAATCAGGTCAGCTCGCGCCGCAGATAACAGCGTATTCGCCGATCTCCTGAATGCCCTGAACGTCACACAATCGATATACTTCGCCCCATGGGTCGGTACCTGGCCCGATGCCATCGACTGGACAGCTGCGGTGATAGGCACGCACGTTTCGGGTGCGACTCGAAGCATTTCCGAAGACCTGGCCTTCCTGAATACAAAATGGGACGATTGGAGACGAGCCTCCAACTTAATAGACAACTACTTTGCGCAGACGATCGCATATTATTTCGGCCAGGATGCTTTCGCCATTAGGAATGAAGCGTACGACGACATTCTCTGGGTCGTTCTAGGCTGGCTCGAGACCATTAAATTCATTAATACTCATAGCGACTTACATTTTGCCCTCGCGAGTCCAAGCCTCTCCGAGGCAACGCCGAGTATCACTGATGGAGTCTTCGATAGCCATGCAACGATTCCTCATCAGCCATATCATGGAAACATATGGGTCTCAGCATTCGCCCACCGGGCGCGCGTATTCTGGGACCTCGCCTCGCACGGATGGGACACAACGCTGTGTAACGGAGGGATGGTCTGGAATCCCAGGTTACTCCCCTACAAAAACGCCATCACCAACGAGCTCTTCATCGCAGCATCGATATCAATGTACCTCTACTTTCCCGGGGACGACAATCAATCCCCATTCTGCAACCACACCGACAGGTTCAATCCCGGTAACCCGGATTCGAAGGACTACAGAGGCCCCCGAGACGCCAGGTACTTGAAGGCGGCCGTGGAAGGCTACCGCTGGCTCCGCAACTCCAATATGACGAACGACCAGGGCTTGATCGTCGATGGCTTCCACATCAGCGGGTATCTTGATGAGAACAGCAATAACACGCGATGCGACGTCCGCGACGAGATGGTCTACACGTATAACCAGGGTGTCATTCTGACGGGACAGCGCGGGTTATGGGATGCCACGGGCGCATCCTCGTTTCTCGCGGATGGCCATAATCTCATCCAGAAAGTAATTAAGGCTACAGGTTACGACCTCTTATTAGACCGCCCATTCGACAACCCCCTGCACGCCAAAACTGGCGTCCTCCCGCGATGGCACGGGCTAGGCCGACTAGGCGTCATGGAAGAGCGTCTCGACGCAAGCGGAACAGGAAGCCAGGACCTACAAACGTTCAAGGGGATCTTCTTCCACCATCTCACGACATTCTGCGCCCCTCTAGATACACCTTCCCCGGGTTCCGGACTACAGGTGCACATCAACGCCTTTAAAGCAATCAAAGTCTCCCACAGCGACGCCTGCAGAGCATACAGCGGATGGCTAGAGCACAACGCGCACGCCGCCCTGAAGACGCGGGACGCATCGGGCCGCTTCGGACAGTGGTGGACGGCGGGCCTGTTGTCGGACGACTGGGTTGGGCCCTGGCCGACGGTCACGAACGATGGTATTGACGATACCCCGGAAAACGCGACTGATTATCGAAATACTGGCGTGCCGACTGATACGACGTGGCGTAGTTCTTTGCCTACTGAGCCCCCGCATACACGCTATTCGCAGTATGGGCAGACACCGCTCAAGTCGCCGCGGGCGGTCGTGAAGGACCCGAATGAGCGCGGTCGTGGACGTACTGTTGAGACGCAGAGTTGTGGGCTGGGTTTGCTTAGGGCGTATTGGAAGATCGCGAGGATGCCTTAGGATGGTAATCGGCGGTCTATGTCGGAGAGGTTGGGGTTGTGTTTTGGGCTAGATGACGGGATTTTGGTCGGGTTAGGTGTTCAGAATAAAGCTCTCATAGGATTGTATACTGTATGACTTGTTTACGATGCATCATGACGCTCTCAGGCTCTTCCAAAACATCCATTTTAGATTTACTAGGAGATTATTTCGGTAGATGCTGTCAGACGCGCGTGCAAACTTCGTCGTAGGCTCTCCCCATAACTGTGAATTCCGATGCTATTGCAATTCAATTCATATCAATCAATATCTCGCTCAGATAGATATGTGGTCAAGAATAGCCCCAATACGTCACTTACTATTTCAAATCTGTCTACCGGCAGTCTATCCGTCAAAACCCCAAATTCAGATGCTTTTAGAATTCCACTTACATGCATAGCATCGCGTAAGCTACCCATCTACGCATTTGCTCAATATCCTTACCCTGCTGATTATGTATTGCATTAATTCGTTCGTTGCGTTAGGTTGGAGACAAACAGCTTCTCTTTCTATACTTGTCAATAGCAAGAAACCATTATGCTACAAAATTAAACTGCCACCCAGCATCCACCAACCACAAGCGCGTCAAGCGTTAATGTGGAGTAGGCCTCGTGGCCCAATGGCAAGGCGTCTGACTACGATAGAAATCAAGCCGTACTACGACTTGATATCCTAACGATAATCAGGAGATTCTGGGTTCGACCCCCAGCGAGGTCAATCGAATTATTATTTTGAACTTTTTGGGAGATGGAATTGTTTCTCTTTTTCTCTTTAGACTACCAGTATTTTTTCTTCCAAGAAGGGTACGTAGACATTTATGATGAAGGCTTGTATTGTACAAGTGTGATCACGTGAGTAGAATCTACATGATCTACTTCTACTTGACACAATTGACCGGCTCGTTTCGGCCCGGTGGAATTAGCCCCTAGGAAACTATAGATGGATAGATAGATCTATAAGGACATAGATAAAACTTGATGTTTCTGTTAACTGATGAGGTAGATAAGTGCAGGCTATCTCAAATCAGGGCGCCCATCAAAGTTTAAAAAGCATCCAGGTTTGGGGCGTCGATTGTAAAGCCTACGCTAGACTGCCCGAAAGACCAGCTTAAACATTCGTGAGGGTGGTATGGCTTGATTATTATAATAGGAATGAAATAGAGAGAATATTGAGAGTTCAGTTTGACAAGGAAGGACGACTGACTTCAAGTTGTTTTTGACCGTATATTCATTCTAGCGAGAGGGTGTCTTGTTTGATGTAAAATAGAAGAAGCATTGGAGTTCAACAAGGGAAAAAGCCAAGACATATTTTCATACAGATATAGAATAAGACTGAGAATAATTCTCGTCTAGAATGCAACAAGTTCTACAATATCTCGATCCCCCTAACCTCCACATCCAATACAGCATTGTCCCTCCAAGGAATGGTAGAGTTCTAGTCATAGATACCAGTGGCGGGATAAATTGGAGAGAGCCAGCCTTTGCCCGAAGAAGAAGTTTTCTCTTTTGTTCGATCAGGGTCGCTGTGGGCTGATCCGATGATCAGATCTCCTCTTCAGTTTGGCTTTCGAGAGAAAATGGGTATATAGAGTACGTAGTTCGGTAGCTGCTTGTAACAAATCATTAGGGATCGTTAGGTAGGTAGATATAGATTGCTACGTCGGAGTTCATCTTACTTGTGCCTTTTACGTAGTTTGAGACCGTAGTACCGCACGTTCTGGTTGCTGAACTTGATTGTCCAATATTTTGGCAGGAAGAGGTCTATGTGTTCTACGCCTGCCGCGGCGCTGGGCTTCGATAACACGTACTTCAAGTATTAATCAGCTTTCTAGATCTAATTTGAAATGAATAATCTTAGTTACCATGAGTACGTCGCTGTCGTTGGAGGTAGTTCTGGACCATAGCTGCAATGGCGATGGTTGAGGCAAGGGAGCCAAAGATAATACTATAGACGACTTCCGGTGTCATTTCGATGTGATAAAATCGACAAAGCAAAGATCTCCGTATATCCAGCACCGCTCAAGCTGTAGTTTCTAAGTTTATGTCCGTATGTTTTTTTTCCCTCTGAGGGAGCGTCGGCACATATTTATAATACATTCTAGGATGTGCACTGGCTCATCATTGAATACATAGAACCCTTGGTACTCTAAAATGCGAAGCAGGGACGATGAGCCAGTGCTACAAAATTCAGCATCTTACATGAGCCACTGCCAGTTGCCATACAAGTATCCGGGATATTGCAAAAGTGTAATACCACTACCCGAGATATTGGGCACTCCAATACCCTTACATTCTAAATTTTTGTGGAAATAATTAGCCTTGGAATAATTGACGTCAAAATAATTGTTGTCTTGTCGTTAAAACAAAGCAGCGTCAAAATGATTGTGAAACGCATATGCCATTACGCAGTCTCGCATACCTACGTTGGAATAGTGTAAGGTACGGCTCAGTTGCACTGGCTCGGTTGCGGCTCTTTGGTTGCCTTGGTGCACTGGCTCAGTTGCACTGGCTGCACTGGCTCAGTTGCACTGGCTCGGTTGCACTGGCTCGGTTGCACTGGCTCGGTTGCACTGGCTCGGTTTGGTTGCCTTGGCTCAGGTCGCGGCTCTTTTAATAAGGCGCAACCATTAGAGCCACGCCTAGTAAGTGATTCCCCCCCCTTCGCGGTCCAGTATCATGGGACAGGTCAAAATTATTAGGACATTTCCCTCATACAAAAACCCAAGTTTAACCAACTTTGGAGCAGAATAACTCACTCCAACTATGCAATCTCAAAATAATGCACATATAAAATATTTTTTCTTTATTTTTCGCTTTATTTTATACATTTAATAGCTTTTATCTATATATAAAATGAAAATTATATCATTTACCCCCTTCTGTTGCGCTCATTGTTTCCCACCTGGTTTCCCACCTGTTGCACTGGCTCATTGCTTGGCTTGGTTGCCTTAATAAGGCGGCACAATCATGAGAGCCAGTGTATGTCACTCTTGTGTACCTTGCACTGGCTCATTGCCTCTTTGAGGCCTATAAATGACCTCTTCCTCCCTCACCCCTATTATCGTCGGCGATTATTAGTAGACCAGTTACTTTTTCTGTTATCTGAACTTGAAGGATAAGTTACCATACCACTTCAATCAGAACATTTAATTGCTTAGCCCTCCACTTATATCGCATTCCCGTTGGCAGTTTCTTTATGTAATTTCTAGCAGCTATGTTGGCTCACGGCCCCGCCCAGAGAGTCGTCGGGAAATTCTACTGCCTGTGTGGAAAAGGCTTTACTAGGAAACATAATCTAAACAACCATATAGGTGCATCTGATAATGTACGGCCTTATACCTGCGACGTTAAGGGCTGTGAACGGTCATTTCTTCGAAAGAGTGACCTGAAGTCGCACAAGAAGACACACACGGGCGAGAGGCCGTACAAATGCGGAGGAAGCGGCTGCGGCGCATCCTTTCTTAAAAAGAATAACCTGAAGAGGCACATGGAAACCTGCAGAAATCAGGCCAAGTCTGTACGAACTAGTTCTATGCGAACTGGTTCTGTACGAACTGGTTCTGTACGAACTAGTTCCATACAAACTAGTTCCATGCGACCTGGTTCCATGCGACCTGGTTCTATGCGACCTGGTTCTGTACAAACTGGTTCTATGCGACCTGGTCCTATACAAACTGGTTCTATGCAAACTCAGTATCGCGACCTAGAACGTGGGTTGCCCTACTTGCTAAGAAGCATCTTATTTTAAGTACATAGCTAACTTTTCGCTAGATAATGCCCGCGATGACATTAAGCAACTAGAGTTGCTTAAAGAGGACTTGAATGATTTGGACAGAAAGGTCTATTATGCTATGATATCAGAAATCGAATTTATTTATGAGATGAGGAACATAATCGGAGAATATCTCGACTGCCTCTGTATAGCTGCCCTTCGGATACAGAAAGAAGGGGGTCACAGTAAGTATGGATAGATATACCACTGAAATTCTTACTAACTCTTATTTCTAGATCTCGCTGAACATACCTCTCTCGCAACATTCATTCGCAATAGACCATGGCATATGCGTCCTGACCTCCGCGAAGCCGGTTTTGCAAAGTATAGCGGTGGACCCCAGATAGTGGACCTCCATTTATTAACGACAGACATTAAAGAATTTTGTTACTTTGTGACAAACGAGCTCAAGCATTATGAAGCGAGATTCCAAAGTAAAGCGAGATTTCAAGGTGAAGCGAGATTTCAACATGAAGGATGGCCAGGAGGCCCACCAAATTCGTTTGGCTTAGTTGGCCGGGGACGCAACAATCATTCAACAGGTAGGTACCATCCTGAAATGAGGGGTAGGTGATTGATTCTGGAATTTCATGTCAAATGGTTATTAGGACGTGTTTTGGCATTGCCAACTACCTACTAACCAATAAAACTTTATGTGCCGCGTATAATTGATAAATTGCCGACTTCACGCGACGATGAGAAAATATGATACAGTATTGTGTCCTATCATTCTTATGCGGTTCCCCTCGTCCTCTTGACTCCCATGCGCCTTTCCTTGCCCAAAAACCGGTAAGAAAATATTGATGTAATCAAGCGATGAAGTCACCTGTCGAAGAGTCCTATAATGGTTTGGAAAGGCCGAGTTGTCAACAACCCAGAATAATACATCGTCTCTCATATTAAGGGACACCGAAACGTTTAATTGTCTCGCCACTCATTCTCGTTGTTCACACCAGGGGGCACATTCTTGTTCGGGTTCGTGTTTGATCCCGATGGAGCGCCATCACTCTCGTCATCATCATCATCATCGAGGGCCCGTGCCAACTCATCAGGATCCTTCATCTTAGCATCTGGATCGACGACTCCAGAGATCTCATCATTCGGATCGAGACGCTCATGCTCAAGCGTCGTATCGTCGGCACTGATCGAGATACCTCGGGCACCCCACTTTGATCTCCGCTGAGACGAGGCATTGCCATTTTCGTCACCATTTAGAGCCGGGGTGCTCTCCTCATCCTCTTGGTCGTTATCGAAATGCTTGTTGCCAAAAATGCGATTGAGAAGCCAACCCCGCCGGATATCATCAGAGTCAACGATGCCACCGTACCGGAGCTTAACTCGTTGTCGCGTGTAGTACACCCAGAAGAAATCGAAATAGAGGGCAGTCTGGATGATGCCGAAGATGACTGACACGGCATTCGGTTTTCGGTCGTTGGGGTCCAGCTCCCTCCAGATCCAGTTGATGCAGTAGAGAGCGCGATACGACCCCAAGGAAATGAGGTAGAAAGAATCGATGACGGTCGGGACACTCGTTTGTCGGAGTAGAAGTAGCTGAGGTAAGACGCAGATCGATTCGAGGATTTGCGAGAAATCCCAAACCCACTGTTCACATAATGAGACACGAGCTACAAAAGCGTAGGCAAGGAATACGAACCGTGAAGAAAGACCATTGCTTCTTGCCCTCAAAGATGAGCATTACAAAGGGAGCGATCAGTAGAGAGCCGGCAAGAATACCGGCTCCCAGTTTCCAGGCAATCTCCCGCTCCCTCGTTCGTGGATAGATCCAGCGCATGATGCCGATTATATAGATGGAGGAGAGTATATAGAACAACTTAAAGAAGTAATTCCATGATGACGTCTCAGTGAATATATCGGTATAGCGAGAGCAGAACACGACGGCATACAGGACTTGTGTAATCCATGAAACGCCTATGCGGAGGGGTTAG